GTATTATATATTTCCAGCTAAAAAGTAATATAAACTGATCTTGTTTTATATACTTTTTTTCATTTATTTTTACTTATCCTTTCCACTTTATTAGTTTTAAAACTGAAACAAATAAAAAACAATTCTTGTGATGTTTCTTTTACAGAAAAAGTTAATTCTGCAAAACGTGTCAAAATCCAATATAAAATTAACTTTAAAAAAGACAATGCTTTTTTAGAGTTGCCTTTTGAACTTTTGTAGATTCTAAATTTTTTGAGTGATTAGATTCCAACTCAGTTAATATTCCTTTATATAAAGACTCAAATACTTTATATGATGTTTTAACATATTTAACCCATGGTAAACTTTTAACCGCTGGCTAAAACGATGCAATTTTGTTAGATATGGTAAACAAAGTATTTTATCTTAATTCTATATTTGTTTTTCCAATATATCTATTTAACCGATATTTAATAGACTACTAATACCAAAAGATCTTTTAAATTGAATGGCTCAGCCACTTTTTTTGGTTAGCTTATTTTAGCAAAGAAGATTGTGCTCAATATTTTCCTTGTACTTTGCTATGTGTGTGTTGTACTTTGTATTCCAAACAAGTCTGGAGTACTAAATTTAGTTTTTAAGCATCATCAAGAATGGGGTAATGGTGTTCATGATTTATAAAAAAATGAGAAAAGATGTGTTTTACATAAAAGGTCTATGCTTTCATTTAATTCATTGCATTCACTTTGCAACTCCAAAAGTAATATTATTAAGGTTGATTTAAACAATTCTCGTTTAAAACTTTTTTCTGATAACTGAAAAAAATTTGTTCCAATAATTAAAACAATAATATTTCTTGGTTGGAAAGGTTAAAAGAGGTAATTTCGTACAGCTTTTAAAATTTCGCGTTGATGCTGTTGATCAAATATTAGCTAATCATCTATTTTCAAGTCCAAAAAATGCAACCTTTATATCAAAATTACCCAAAACCAACTTGTTAATTCGTGGAAAAACAATTGAGGTAGCTTTAACAAAAAAATGTTAAGCATTTAAATTCTTTTTCAATTCTTTGCGATGAAACAGTTGACTGTTCAAATACTGAACAAATGTCACTTGTTTTAAGATATGTAAATTCAAAAAAATGAGATTTGCAAGAACTTCCTAAGATTTATTGGTTGCAAGACTGATACATCAAGTCTGCCTCTAAATTTACTTGATACACTTCAAGAGACTTTTTGGACTTGATATTCAAAATTGTAGAGGCCAAGGGTATCATAGTGCAGGATTTATGGGAGGTGAATATAAAGGAGTTGCTTGTTAAATAAAAGCTCTTAATCATTATGCTTTTATGATTAAGAGCTTTTTTATTTTTCATTGTGCTAAGTATATATATATATATATATATATATATATATATATATATATATATATATATATATATATATATATATATATATATATATATATATATATATATATATATATATACTATATATATATATATATATATATATATATATATATATATATACTTAGTTTGTTAGAGAAGTTCGTAGAACTTTATCTATAAAGTTACAATAAGACAGGAAATAATTAAATATTTATACATCATCTTAAACTGTGTTTAACTATGAACATTTTATGTACTTGTTAAAATAATTTGAATGTTTATTAAAAAAGTTATTTAAATTTTGTTATATTCGTTTGAAAGAAAAAATTTAAAAATGGAAAAACTTGAATATCGAGCATATATTAAAACTCATGCTCTAATTGGAGTTTCAGCACAAGCCATAACCGTTGAATTGCTTTTAGTTCATGGTGACCAAGCTCCAAAATATAGTACAGTTGCCAAGTGGGCTACTTTATTTAAAGATGGTAGAGAGAGAGTCTTGAGAATGATCCTCGCTCAGGACACCCTTAAACTATATATGCAACTGAGAATATTGAACGTATGCGAGCTATTATTGAAGAAAATCCTCATGCAAGCCCTGACATTGATTAATCGTTTTACAATCAACGAAATCATTCACAACGCACTTAAAAAAAAGAAAACTAACATCACGTTCGATACCCACTAGTTAACCGATCAAAATCGAAAGAATAGAGTTGAGGCATGTAAGGGAAGTTTAGCTCTTTTTAAAAACGGCTCATGGAGGTTATGTGATACTGTTACAGAGGATGAATTGTGGTTTTATTTGAGGCAAGTTGGACACAAGTCAGCTAACGTTAGATGGGTTCATGAAGGTGAAAGTCCTAGAACTACAGTAAGTTGCGATAGGTTTCAGCCAAAAAGCATGTTCTACATCTTTTTCAAAACAACAGGTGTTGGTCATTTTGGTTATGTTGGAAAGGGAGACACTATTACTATGCGAAATAAATAAACAATGACCTAAAACAAGGACTAATTTCAAATTTCTCCATAATAACGCTCGATCCCATGTAACTCAAATTGTCACAAATTGCCTAAACCAAGCTAGAATTACAATAATTCACCACCCACCATACTCACCAGACTTAGCTCCCTCCGATTAGCTATTCGACTTGATAAAAATTATATCTTGATGATGATACTGACGTCGAAAGCAAAGAAACACGCATAACGAAGCTACTTGAAAGTACACCCAAAGAAGAGTATAAAAAAACGTTACTCAAATGGCTTAAAACGATGCAACTTTTTTATATATAATGATGGACATTATTTTGAACATTTAATAAAATAAAATTAAAAAAAACTCTTTTAATTTTTCTCATGTATGGGAATCCTAAGAACTTTCCTAATGATCTATATATATATATATATATATATATATATATATATATATATATATATATATATATATATATATATATATATATATATATATATATATATATAGTATATATAAGTATAGTATATATATATATATATATATATATATATATATATATATATATATATATATATATATATATATATATATATATATATATATATATATATATATATATATATATATATATATATGAAGGCCTCAACGGAAGAACGATCAGAGTCACACTTTTGCTGTTTTGAGAAAATCAATTTAAGATTTAAGCACCATTATGTAGACAAAGTATGAACCCAGGGCTACAATAAAAAAAGCCTTCATATATATATATATATATATATATATATATATATATATATATATATATATATATATATATATATATATATATATATATATAATACTTCAGTTCAAGTTCACTTTTCTGACCTTTTAATTGATTTTGATACATCATTAGTGAAATCGCCTTTTTTAATTTGAGGAAAATTCACTAATGATGTCAACAATAATCAAGGGTGGGCGCATACTTGACAAACGTTCTTGGCCCTATAGTTGATCTCGTGTAGTTTTTTATGAGCCTTAGTTTATTGAAACCTCTTTCAAACGTAGCAACTTTGAATAGTATGGTGAAGAAGATACGAATAGCGATTGCCGTGTTAGGATAAGCATCAGTCAATGAATATTTATAAATTTTTTAAAGTTTTTTATCATTACAGCAGTTTGATATTTGAAACATGCTGTTTCTGACTGAAATTGAACTTAATTTAATTTATGTAATTATTCAAAACAAATTCAGAAAAATTTCATTGTTTTGTTGACCGACGACTTTTGTTGTGCCCCGAAGGACAATTTTTTGCACAAAGCAAAATTAAGTCAACAATCACTTTCAAAATGTTTCTCAACTTTTTTATTTCTCCATTGATAACTTTCTGCAGATAAGAATCCATGGTCTTTCCTACTTTAAGATTTTTTTTTTGAGTTTTTCAAGCATCTTTGGTGATCAATGTTGTTTTCGTGTTTATGAATTCTTGGGGTTTGTTTTTTCCGATCCCAAAATCTTATTGAAACTTCTAAGAAATTGTTGGTTTTCGTTGTAGAAATAACAAAAAGCAAAACAAATAATAAACTTTTGATATTACTGTACAGCAACTAATAGCAAACAAGTTTGATCACCATTGTAAAGAACTTTTTTATGCCAATTTGTGCTGAAGTGTTGCATTCTAGTTGTCAAAATCTATATGATTTTGACAACTAAATTGCGTGTTTGGAAAACATTTGCTTCGTTCTTGGTCTAGCCCATGCTAGACCAAGAACGAAGCAAATGTTATTTTACTCGACTAGGTTATTTATTTACTAGTCGAGAAAAAACGTCTTAATAGCAGAACTAATCGAGACGAGTTCCCTTTGTACCAAGGTACTATTCATTCGTTGAGTAGTCAGCCGGAATTATTATTTGAACAGGCAATCTTGCTGATTCAAATAATAATTCCGAATTTTAGCAGCACTCTAACTAACTGAGCTATCCCAGCTCTAATTGTATAATATTGTTTTTATAATATTGTATATTGTAGTTGTTTAATTAATAAATTGCTTATTTAATAAATCTCAATGCAAATATTATCTTAAATAATTTGTTTAACCATCGCAAAGATTGTAACCAACCACTTCTTGAAACAATTTTGTAGTTTTTCATCACTTTCTAGGTGCTATTTTCTTTTTTTCTTAAATTCAGCGCAAGATAATGATTGTAGAAAGTATTTTAACGCTATTCTCTAAAGATGGTAGTGTCTATATAGTCTCGAAGTAAAAAAAGTATAAATAAAACTAGTATTGAATGTACTCCATTAAAAAAAGATAATTTAATAAAAACCAACTATGTTATTGTTAAAGAGCACTCTTTTGTTAAGTAAATGAACTTTTATAGGTTGAGTTTATTTAACGCGCAGTTTTAGTTATTATTTTTTTTATCAACGTTATTATTTTTTTTTATCATAAAAATATTTTTTCAAGTAATTACTTTTTTTAATTTTATATTTTAGGGAATTTCGCGCCCTTCTAAGTTATTATTCTAGTATATATTATATATATATATATATGTATTTTTTTTTTTTTTTTTTTTTTTTTAATTTTTTAGGTGCCCCAAGAAGTCCTTGCGGACTTATCACAGAGCACCGCGGAAGAGCATTTAATAGAAAGTTCACGCCTCCTTCTCAACCGATGTCGCAAAACTTATCCAAAGATAGGGTTTGAACCACGGATCTTACGTTTCTGAGGCAAGTGCGCTACCACTGCGCCACAGCTGCTCTGAATATGTAAAGATATATATATATATATATATAATATATATATATATATATATATATATATATATATATATATATATATCAGGTATATATATATAGTATATATATATAATATAAGAATAATATATAAGCCCCAAGAAGTCCTTGCGGTCAAGTATATGTATATCAGGATAATACACACGAGTATGTCTATATCAGGATAATTTATACGAGTAGGTGTATATTAGGATAATACATACAAGTATGTGTATATCAGGATAATACATACAAGTATGTGTATATCAGGATAATACATACAAGTATGTGTATATTAGGATAATACATATGAATATGTGTATATCAGGATAACACATACTAGTATGTGTATATCAGTATAATACATACGAATATGTGTATATCAGTATAATACATACGAAAATGGTATACTCATATGGGTATATTAAGGAATTAAGGTAAAAAAAAATTTTGTTATTAAATTTCATGTTGTACAAAAAAACAAACCTTGTTTTCAATAAGTTTTTCAAGACCACGACGACCTTTTACTTTAATCCAAGGTTGAGGCCATTCGTCGCGCATTTTTGTAACAACTTTTAGATCATAAACATCTTCTCCATTTTTTCGACGTTGGCGAACTAGTGCGCAAAGTTTTTAATAGTTTTTTAAAATAAAAATTGACAAGCTTCCGTGTATCAACGTATTATCACGGATTCACGTATCAGGTGGTGGCATACAGTCTATATACAATTAAGTAAAACTTACGATTTTCATTATGTCTAATAATAGCTCTGTCAGCTTTGTTCCTTGGTCCAGCTTGCGTGAAAGAGTAACCAAATTTTATAATATTTTCATTCTTGTCGATTGCCGCTGCCATACACTCTTCTCCTTGTAAACCAAACGGTTGTTTCTATTGCAAAAAAAAAGTGCAGCAAACAATAAGAAATCGTTTAATGTTTTCAAATACTTTCTTGTGGTACTTACTTGATTAGATATCTTTATTTCTCGAAGTGAAGGATGACGACCAACTTCAGACATCAAAGCCTAAACAAATCCCGATACCATAGATGACACATGAAGCATGAAAACTACGAACTTTTACAACATTTAAAAACGTCAAAATATAATAAAAAATTAAATGGAGCAAATAAAAAATGGGTAAAACACGATTTTTTTTTATATTTGCTAGAATTTAGGCAAATTTACGATTTTTGACCAAATATTTCCAAGTATTTTTTTTCACATAAAACTTGTCCTTATATATATTCGTTGCATTGAATCAAAACTTAGCAAAATATTCTTCAATAGTTTTCAATCAATTACAAAAAAAGTAAATATAATAGTCAAAGTCGTAAAACAGAAAAAAAAAAAATTTGCTATTTTATTAATGATTACGCAAGCCAGTTTTGATTTTACACAACAAAAGTGAAGAAAAAAAAAACGAAAAAAAAAAAATACCCACCAATATTCCATGCATAGTAATTATGTTTGATTCTAAGTTTAAGGTTTCCATAACACTGTTGTAACGTAATGCATTTGCGAGCTCCTTAAGATTAGATTATAAAATATTAAACTATACAAACATAAAAAACAATATTTGAAAATAAAATTTGATAAAAAAATAATTTTTAAACGTATTATTGTGTTCAAAAAAAATAAAAGAATTTCAATAATAGTAATGGTAATGATATTAATATTAGTATTAACTTATGCAGTTAAAAATTTATATATTTTGCGAGCATTAAAATGACTATTTAAATTATTTAATTACTTTCACTTCAAAATCAATTAGACCAGTCATTGCCATTGAAAGGTGCTTGACTTTTGATGAACGCTCAACCGTTTTAATGACTTCTAACTTGATACTCCGCTCTAAATTCGGTTGGTTATTAATACAAATATAAAACAAATCATCTGTATCCTCGCGACAACACCTCATGAGCTCTACAATATCGAGTTCTGTTTCTTCGTCAGCTTGGGTTATGCATTTCCGTTGCTCTGTTGCTTTCACCGATGCTTTTAAAAATTTCAATTGATGGTTATTTTGAGATATAAAAACACACATTTTCAACATAATTATAATTTTAAACTATATTTCTTTAAATTTTTACTAACTTAATAATATTTTAATAACATTTGATGACATCGTAAAATGTTAGATTACATCGTGCAACGTTTGATAAGGTCAAATATGAAACTTTTAGTTGTTAATGTTTAGCATTACTTAAGCTATGCAACATAACCATTATTTATGAAATGAAATAATTGTTTATAGAGCATAACAATTATTCATTGAAAATTTTTTGGTATTCGAGTTAAGTAACTTGACAGTTTTAAACGTCGAATTTATGTTCCTGCTTACATGATATAAAAATGCTTTTCTAAAGAAGTGCAAATTGAAATCTGGGAACAAAAGTACTATCGAAAATATTATCAGGAATCACCCACATTGTGGGAGAAATTGGGAGAAAGTTTTAACGATGAGGGAGAAACTTGTGAGAGAAATTAGTTTTTAAATTATAAATCCTTATTAATATAGCTACAACTTTTTCTTAACACCTGATAATTTTTTAATGAAATTCTAAATATATTTTGAAATTTCAGTCTTGCTTAAAGAAATGTTTTCTTAATGCAAAACCAATTTGCCCACATTTAGACAGGTTTTTCTTTTTAGGTTTCTAAGGTTTATTCAGCGCAAATTTTGGCAAAACAAACGACGTAAATATAATCGAACAAATAAATGTTTTGATTTTTCAGATTTTTTTTAAATGAACCAATAGAAATCCTCTGTTTCTAATCTGTCAAAACTCTGACAAGAACAAAGACAAAATATATTCATATATTTATAAAATATATTCAAAATATATTCAAAATATTTCATATTTTAAACTCCATTTTAGCTTTGTATTTCCTAATTGAAATTAAAAAAAAACCCTGTAAGATAATTCTTAACTGTTTAATTTGCCATTGATTAATTAATTGTTTAATTGCCATTGGTTAATAAATTACTGTTGTTAAGCACAATATAACTACTATTTTTATAAATTCATATTTAACTAACTTTTAATTAAACTAAATTAAAAATAGTTAATTTATATATAAAATAAAAGTTTGATGATTTAGGGGGAAAAAAACGAAAAACTTACATGTTGTACGGATGCTGGAACCCTTTGGTTTCTCTCCTGCCCAAACAGAGCTAATTTGCTCATTGGTTAAAATGCCATTCATTTTTAACAGAGCTGAACGATTAATACAAAATAATTTTTATTTATAATTTATATGTATATATATATATATATATATATATATATATATATATATATATATATATATATATATATATATATATATATATATATATATATATATATATATATATATATATATATATATATATATGTATATATAAATATATATATATATATATATATATATATATATCTATATATATATATATATGTATATATATTTACATATATATATATATATATATACATATATATATATATATATATATATATATATATATATATATATATATATATATATATATGTATATATATATATATATATATATATATATATATATATATATATATATATGTATATATATATATATATATATATATATATATATATATATATATATATATATATATATATGTATATATAAATATATATATATATATATATATATATATATATATATCTATATATATATATATATATATATATATATTTATTTACATATATATATATATACATATATATATATATATATATATATATATATATATATATATATATATATATATATATATATATATATATATATATATATATATATATATATATATATATAAAATTCTTTTTGCACAAAAGTAACTGCAATTAATTGATCCAATTGAACATATATACTAATTAAAATTAAATGAACAATTTTTAAGAACTAGGTAAAAAATGATGCTTGTTTAAAAGTTTTTACATTTTATTAAAGTTACCAATAAATAAAATATTTAAAATAAAGGCAAAATGCACACTTCATTTTTACAAACCTACCTTGCTGCAATAAAGCAGCAGAAACTCCGCGATGATCAGCCTCTACAACCTTTTCAACAACTTTTTCACTTTCTCTCTTTTGCTTATCTTGCTGAAGCAATTTATACAATGGGCTAGAAGTGTCGTTACTTCTTTTAATATTTTCATCATTAACTAAAATGTTCGACTTAGGCAGTCTTTCATCATAAGGTATTTTCGTATTTGTTTTTTGTTCAGAATCAATTCTCACTTTCTTTAATTTGCTTCTAACTTCGTCAAGATCTTTTATCCCGTCATTACAATCAATATGTTGTATGCCCTGTTTCTTATTAAAAGAATAAGTTTCCCGATCTGTTTTATCACAGTAATTTTTAGTCTCTTTTTCTATTTTTAGTTCATCGCACCTTTTTACTATTGATTCATTTTCTCTCTTTTTTAAAGTTTCTTCCAATAAACTTGTTGGTTTAATTATTATATCGGAATGCAATAAATTTTTGGAATTTTGTACTTGATTTGCTTTTACGCTATATTGTGAGCTTAAAGAACTTAAGTTAGACTGTTTGTTGTTGATTGGTTCTAGTTTCTGATATTGAGATGAATCACGTGAGTTTGCAAATGTGTTCATACTTGTGATGTTATTGGATAATTTTTTAATGTTATTTCCTTGATGTTGGAAATCCAACTTTGAATTTTTTCTGTATTGGCTGTCAGATTTTAGACTAAAATCATTTTGTTCATCATTAAAAGCTCCAAAAATTTCTCCGTCTGCATAACTATTTTGAAGAGTACCGTATCCATCATCAAAAAAAATTTCGTCAAAGGTTGTTGGAGTTTGACAAATTCCCGAGTCACATGATTGCCTTCCAGATCTATCTTCTCGTTTAGCACGAGATTCATTTTCATAGGTAGCTCTTTTGTTTGGACTTTTTAATGGAGTGATATCCTTTTGAGTTGGTTTTTTGGTCGCACAATTACTTTGCTTTAAATTAAAATTGTCTCCATTATTTTGCTCCGGGTGAACAGTACAACGAGTCAAAGTGCTTATTATTCCAGTTTGATCGGCCTTCAATTTAATGTCAATTCTAAAATTAACCTGAGTAACTGCTTCCCCTAAATTTGTAAGAATTCCTGATAAATTTTTCCCGTGTACTTTAGATGGTTTTTCTTTCGCACTACTTTTTTTACTGTTATTAATATATATGTTTAAGTTCATTTGGCATGGCTTATCTGTAATAGTATTATCTTTATTATGATGTACCTTATCGTTAATATTATTTTTGTTTTTTCTATAGACAAGAGAATCGTTTTTAGATGAGTTAAAAATTTTATCTTCAATAAATTTATCTCCGTCTCTTCCTTTATTACAACCATTTTTATAATCATTATCTCTATTGACTACATCATTAGCATTATCTCCGAAAACATCACAATTAACAAAAATATCAGCATTTCTATTTACGTCGCATTTATTTAGCAGTCTTTCAGAATCAATCTTACTGTTGTACTGTAAAACAAAATTGTTATACTTTTTGATCCGACTTAATTTGGATTTATTTATCTTTTTACGTTTTTTTTTTTTAACATGATATTGCATTAACTTCTTAAAATTTTCGTCATTTATCGAATATGTATTATCTGATTGATTTTCTTGGCATGCAATAAGATTATTGAATTTGTCGTGAAATCGATGCGGTGCGTGTTGATCGTATAAACTAGAACTCATATCCGTTTTAGCCAAAAGACGATCTTGGTTTTCGAATTTAAAGCCATGGCAAGGTCTTGTGAAATCTTGCTTAACATCCTCTATAACGCGGGTAATAAAATGTAAAACGCGGGTAATAAAATGAAATGTGCATAAAAAATGGCGGACAATAAAATGTAATTAAAATGCATAATTATGCAGCATCAGACAACCTAGTTCTTAGTTTCTTAACTTAAAACTAAAATAAAATTTAATATAAAAGTTACCTGCAGCTTCAATAAGTTCTTCTTCAGTTGCATTGTTCAAAAGCTCTTCTTCTTCGTCAGTGAGCGCAATCTAAATAAAACAACTTCTGGTTAGAATTATTGTTAATAAATAAAACAACTTCTGGTGACCATTATTAATAATTGTATTGTTATAACCAATTTTAGTATTGTTTCAGGATATGATATTCAACCAGAATAAACAGTTCAGTTGCCAGAATATATCAAATAATAATAACTGAATATAAATATTACTGAATTTATAATATTCAGTGTAATAAGTCCTCTTATGAAAAATATAAAAAGCATACACTTCTTTGAGGTGCAAGTGCAGGTCGATCTTTAGAATATTGACGTTTAAGTTTTTCTTCTTTTACTTGCTTCTTTACTTCTTCTTTAATACGAATTTTTTCATTTTTTATAACCGGTATGCTCTCAGCAACCTTTAACATAAATAAGTTATATATACATATATATATATATATATATATATATATATATATATATATATATATATATATATATATATATATATATATATATATATATATATACATATATATATATATATATATATATATATATACATATATACATATATATATATATATATATATATATATATACATATATATATATATATATATATATATATATATATATACATATATACATATATACATATATATATATATATATATACATATATACATATATATATATATATATATATATATATATACATATATATATATATATATATATATATATATATATATATATATATATATATATATATATATATATATATATATATATATATATATATATATATATATATGTATATATATACCCTTCTCTATATAATACTATTTTATATTATATAGAAAGGGGGTGGGTGAATGTAATCAGAGTGCGTGCGTTTGTTTGTTAATGAACACTTACAATTCGCTCAAGATTCTCGACTAAGTCTTCTTTTTTGAACATAGGTCCATTTTGAGTAGATTCACCTTTTCTTCCGTTCAGGGGGGCTAGCAAACTCTATAAGATAAAGAAATTAAAATATACATTATCCATCATAGAGCTTAGTCATAGATATTAGTTGTTGAGCACTCGAGATATTAGTTGTTGAGCACTCGAGAAAAAAAGTTTTCTAAGATTCCCTCTCTTTAGAAAAAAGGTTATACAAATTTTTTTTTTTTAATGTTTTTTTTTATAAACAATATAATATAATTAAGATGTTTTTATTAATTATATCTTATGATACTTTTTATTTTATTATGGTATATAAAGAGCTCGTTCAGGGGCATCTTTTGAGAGTGGAAAGTGGAGGAGAGTGGAGGCAATTGTTTAATTTAAACTAATTTTGTGTGAGAGTAGAGGCTATTTATTTTAAATAATTTTTGTTTTGATTTGGAATGATAAATTTTTTTAAGCTGTTGATAAACTAAAAATTATACTTAAAAAAGATAATACTTAAATAGAATTTTTCATTGCTTTTATCACAAAATTTTTTTTTACAACAATTAAAATAAATTGTTTCGACAAAAAGGCAAAAATATTTGTGATGCCGCTGAAATGAGTATTAAATGCGTCACAATTTATATATGTATATATATATATATATATATATATATATATATATATATATATATATATATATATATATATATATATATATATATATATATATATATTTATATATATATTTAAATATATATATATATATATATATATATATATATATATATATATATATATATATATATATATATATATATATTAGGTTTTTGTTTCAAATAAAACTGAAACAAAAACCTATTTGGAAAGTATCAGATCATAATAGTTTCACTTTAAAAAATATTTTTCGCCTTGCTTGTGCTAAAACATAAAAAAAAAAAAAAAAAACGCTAAAAAACTTAAAATTAAAAATCCCAAAAAGAACAAACAACTATTTCCATAAAAAATATTTTAAAACTATATTTTTTAAAATCTTTTCAAAGTTAAATCAAATATGTCTGATTGTAAGTACTTACCTGTGGATCAAAATCAGCATTTAGCAATTCTAGTTCTTCTTCTGTAAGTTCGTTTAATAATGACCATCCTTCATCGTCTAATAAATCGTCGATGTTAACGTCACTCACCTAATAATAAATAATATTTTGACAAATATAGTTACACACACACACACACACACACGCGCGCGCGCGTGTGTGTATAACATTATAAACATGTATAATCACACGTAAGTTTGTAAGTTTTCGAATGCTTTTAACTGTATATAAATAATAAAAAACATTAAAAAAAAAATGCATTCGCTTATAATTTAAATAATTTTAATTTTAAAGAAAATCTTTAAGAAGTTATCAGTAAAAAAAGTAAACTTTTTACGGACCTTTTTACCCATGTTTATGAATTATTGAAATTTATTTGTAAATTATTTATCAATACATCACTAAAACACCTTTTAAAAACATTTTAAGGTTGTCTTGGTTACTAACTTTACTTAATTACTATCGTCAATCATGTAGATAACATGTCAACATTAATTTATTTAAAAAATAACTGATAATAAATTGTCTCGAGCAATCATAAATGAAGTTAGGTTAATAATGTTAAAACTTCGTTTCATAAACAAAATAGTAAAAAAACAAAATTTCTAAACATTAAAATTGGTCGATGTATAAAAAAGTTGCAATCAAATAATGTAAAAAAACATGAAATCTTTATGATGGAGTTCTTGATAACTCGTGTTTCTTGAGCTTAAATTTGAAGTATTTTAAACTTATTAAGTATGCATCAGATTTTTATCATTTTAAAAAGAACTCATTCCTTAAAAAGTAATCTGATTGGTAACTTCATCTGCGAGATAATAATAAAAGTTTCAGACATGATTACTTAGGTGAGCGAAGCAAATTGATAAACTAGACAATATTAATTAAAAATCATATTTACAAAAATCTTTGTTTTAAACCATAAAAATTTATAAATAAATATAATACCCTGGTCATCCTTGTACTGACCGTTCCCGGACAGCTTTTTAATGATTGTATTTCCTAAACAACCGCTGATGTACTTATAACGCAAGCTTTCTGGATTTTAAATTCATGGTAAAATATTGATATTTTTAAAAAGAACTATTTACCAATATTGGTAGTGTATTTGCATTAGTAATAATAATATTAAAGTTTTTGTAGTCACGCCAAGTGATGTTAAGTAAGTTTTTCCGGGTATGATGGTGGCAACCATTGTTTATTACATTTTTTTAAAAGTGATAAAAATAATAAAAGGATGATGATTGTTGTGCCTAGTGATAGACAATTGTGGTAGAATGCATTATAACAAAATGCGTGGAAATATTATATTAATAATAACTTAATAAAAATTTTTATCATCTTCCTCCACCTGAACTGAACTGTCGTTTTTGGAAATATTTACGTACAGTGAGCAAAATACAAAACAAAAGTATTTGTTTAATAAGCGAACATGCAACGGTTGCATTTGACAAAGACCTTTGGAAGTTTTATTTGTTTTTTATCTTTTTTGTTAAATTTTATAATCTTATTAATTCAATGTACAAAAGAGTCAAAATTTATTAACGAGTGAGTGCGTAATTAAAAAAATATTTTTAGAATTTTATAGATAAAATAATTGAAAACTCGTAATAATTTAAATATGTAAAGCTTATTCGGTTACATTTAAAGGATGCATTTAATTGAACTAAGAATATTTAACATAAGTTTTAAGGAAATATATATATACATTTATATTGTGATATGTTTTCGATCAATCATAATAAGCGTCATCAAGTATAACACAATTATTCTTAAATATTTTTTGTAATGTACCTGATGACGATGATCACAATACCAAAACAAAATTAAAAAAAAAAACAATTATATATATATATGTATATATATATATATATATATATATATATATATATATATATATATATATATATATATATATATATATATATATAAATTAGAAAAAATACTTATATAAAACAAAAGTTTTTGCATTATATAAGTTATAACACTTATATAATGCAAAAACTTTGTAACACAAGTTAAAACACATCTAAAACAAAAGTTTATACGCAACTGCATATTTTGAAATCCGTCTATATGCATAAAATATATACAATATGTCCGTTAGTTATTGTAATTTTGTGTTTAAAAATCTCATTACATGTGTATATTTATTACATGTCACAATGGGGCCTAACAAAGGTAAAAATGGCCAAAAATCTAAAAATCAAGTTTTAAATTTTTGAAAATTTTAAATGTTAATTTTAAATCTTACTTGCAGCTGCATCTAAAACAGATTAGTTTGTACTTAAAAAAAATTGGATGTTGAGTAACCATTTGACTCAAACTCAAACTGACCGAAATTTGTGTTAAAATTCCTATTTTGAGTTTATTACATTTACTTTGTGACTGCTGTTTTAAGAATATTAAATTATATATCTATGTAAAGATAATGATTAAGTCTATCAATATATGCAATAAAGTTAATCTAATTTAGTTTATTTCCAATAAAAATATATTTACTATTATTATTATTATTATTTCATTTATATAACACCCAATGTAATTTACAAGGTAAAAAAGAAAAATAAGAAAGTTATTTCTCGTGATTTTCACTTAAGAATTTTTTCCTCCAGAACTTGTTTAAAATTTCTCTTTGCTCTTTCGCATTCCAGCACTCTATTGCATGTTTCAAAGTTTGTTCAACTTTGGAAAGAACTTCACTTTTAGAAAGTGCTATTTTCATCTTCTTTTTATTTTGAATTAAAATTTGAATATTTATCATCCGAAAACGGCATAGGTCCTGGATATCGCCAACAAACGAATTTTGAAATAAGGGGTGTTTCAGTTGTGAAAAGATAATGCCTGAAGTTGTTTTATTATTAAGAAGACGAAGAAACAAGTTTAATTTTTTTTTGAATACTTTTTGAAATTTCCTGGATTTTAAATGCGAATTTGTATAGTTCTTACTGTGTTTTGAAACATTTAAAAGCGATTTTAGTGCACTCCTTCCAATTACATCTAGCTTTTTCATCAAAGCAGAATTATTTTATAGAATTTATTTATAGCGCTTTTAGTTGGTTTATAACTTAAAAGCTAGAGATATAATTTTGCTGTTGATGGCCGGTGGAAGTCTAACTTGCAATAAATACTTGAAACTTATTTCAACCAAATTTAATAAAAAATTAGTCTGTCTTGTACTGTTTGATTCATTGTTTTTCCGTTTAAAAAAAATATTTTTTGCCTTTTTTTTTAAAAAAATCTAAAAATAAAGACAGATGGCATTTCTTTCAGTATACTGATAAAAATGCCATCTGCAGTAACCAATAATTACTTTATTGGTTACTGCAATAATTATATAAAATTATATAACCAATAATTACTTTGTTAGGATTATTGGTTACTGCAGTAATGCAGTAGTAACACATAATCCTTACGCATTGTTCAAAGATAAATAAAACCGTGAAATGTGTAAATACATTTAAAAATGGTTATTAAGTATAGTGAAATTGTTGCAATTATAAAAAAAAATGATAAACATTATCTAGCGATTAAAAAATGCTTGTTGTGTTGTGAAGAAAAACTTAAAAGAGACCTAAAGGAAGAAGAAAAACAAGTTATAACACAGAAAATAAAAAATATAAAAAGGCGATACAACGAACTTTAGAGAAAGCAAGGTTGTTCTTTATTTGTGATTATCTATGATTCCTTTAAGATTGCAAACAAGCTGTGGAAAAATTTTATGGACTAATCAAACTCCTCAGTCTACTAGATTTTGCCGTCCACAGAGAATCGAATTTGCAAAGGAAAGTAAAGAATACGTAATTCGATTAAAGGAGAAATATGATAAAGAAATTGCTGAACTCGAAGAGATTGTGATTATTTTAAAGTCTGGAAAGAAACTATTGGTTGAATTTAATCTGTATTTGACGTTAATAGATGGAAAGGTTCAAGCATTTATTACAAAGACATCTTCGTTTCAACGATGTACTGCGTGTGGTTGTTCTTCAAAAGATATGAACAAACTGGTAAATTTTACAAAAGGAGTATTTAATGTTAACCCAGTAGCTTTACAATATGGTTTAAGTATTCATCACATGCATATACGCTGTTTCGAAGCAATGTTACACATTTCTTATAAATTAGTTTTGCCTGAAAATCAATGGCAAGTGCATGGAAAAGAAAACGAAGCAATAATAAAAGCAAGGAAGATTGAAATTCAAAGCCGATTCAAAAACAAACTGAACATTCATATAGACATGCCAAAATCAAGCGTTGGCAATAGCAATACAGGAAACGTTGCAAAAAGAGCATTCAAAGATCCGAAGCTCTTGTCTGAAGTTTTAGACATCGACTTGGAGCTTATTCAAAGATTAAGAATACTTTTGTTGTGTATTTTTTATCGATTTCCAATTGACCCAGTCAAATTTAATGAGTATTGCTTCTCAACAGCATCTCGGTATGTTAAGTTATATAAAAAATTTCCTATGACTCCCACATTACATAAACTTTTGATACATGGCTCACAAGTTATATCAAATTCAATTGGTCCTGTTGGCATGTTATCTGAAGAAGCTTCAGAAAGTAGAAATAAAATTTTTAGATCAAATAGAATCAATCATGCTCAAAAAGATAGTCGCCGACACAACTTCTTTGATGTGTTCACACGTGCAATGGAGACTTCAGATCCAATTCTTTCAAGTTCAAGATTACAACAAAGAATTCAAAAGTACAAGAAACATAAGAAGCCATCCGAAGTAAGAGAACTATTAATCTTAAATACAAATATTAATAATGAAAACTGTGATGATGATTCTAACAGTGAAAATGATATAGATGATTTTGAAAACAGTCACATGTATGAAACAAATGTAGATTCTGAAATATATCAATAAGATGATGTTATGATTTTTTATAATAAAAATAGCAGACGTGGCGCAGTGGTTATCGTGTTGAACTCTATACCCAAGGGGTTGCAAGTTCGAATCGAGTATTAATAAAATTGAACAAAATATTTCATACAATAACTTTTCTCTATTATTTGCTTGCAACATAGATGGCAGCATGAGTTTTTATCTTTATATAAAAAACTTATTCATATTTTCATATAATATTTTACACTTTATTTTTAAAATTTGTAAAAAGTTGTGGGGGGGGGGGGGCACTCAGCCTTTCACTCCTCACCACTCCCCTGTGTTACCGCGATCCCTTTTATAAATACGCATGTTTTACTTTTTTTTCCATAAGTTTTTTTTTATATGCTATAAATATATACTTAAATAATATAGTAAAAAGTAAAAAAAATTACTAAATGTCAATTTATTGCTAAAGAAATTCTTATCATACTCTATTTCATAAGAAATGCTCAAAATTTTCTCAAAAAACATTTAATTATTTTTTCATTCAATTTAGAATACTCTTTTTTATAATTGTGTAAAATTTCAAATGGATTGGCAGATTTTTCGATTTTTGGCCGTTTTTCCTTTGTTCGGCCCAATTGTGGTTTGATGAATGCTTGATTTTCTTAACTCTACTCATTGATTTTTGTATGTCTCTCCTTGGTAGAGGCTAAGTTTTACTGTTATCTACTAATGAGGAGACAGGTCTAAAACTCAGTTTAATGACTCTGAGGCTGTCTAGTAAAAATATTTTCTCAAACTCTGTGGTAGTTCTCAGATAGACTGATTCTATCAACAAATAAATTATGATAGTTTATAAATAAATTAAACAAATAAATTATTACATATCATTGTTTTAAAAAGTCTTCTCCAGGACTCTCTTCAATTTTTTCAAAGCTACTTAATAAGTGCTTGACTGTTTTTCTACCTGCTAAAAAATAGCATCTTGTTATAATTCTTTAAAATTCTTGAGAACATTATGACCTCTCAAACTTTTGTCCCATCAGTCTTCTCTTTACTCAAACTTTTCTCCCATCAGTCTTCTCTTTACTATTTGCAACGTCTTTGAGTCTTTAATCAATAAATTTAAAACATTCCATCTTGAGGACAAACATCTTGACGACAAACATCTTGAGGACAAACATCTTGAGAATAAACATCTTGAGGACAAACATCTTGAGGACAAACGTCTTGAGGACAAACATCTTGAGGCAAATAAGTTTCTCTATAAAAATCAATACAAATTTCGATCTTCTTGTTCTACGGCTGACTTGCTAACTGCTTCTAACTGAAAGATTCTATTGTGTATTAGATGAAAACGGCTATGTAAAGGCTAATACTCTTGGCATACCAAAAGCTTTCAAACCTTTTTGCAAGCTGGTCTTCTCTACAAGTTTGCTTCATCTAGAAAGCTTATAAGGTTACTAAATCATTGCTTTTTAATCGCGGTATTTAAAGTCATTCTTAAAAGCAAACTATTTACTTCATTTTCAGTATCATCTCAGCTCAGACAGCAAGCTTACATTGGCTCAACGTAAGTTTTAACATTAGCAAGTTTATTTCGTTGGGCTAACATATAACCACTGTTTTTTTTTCGGCGTATTATTTTCATTTCTGCAAATCGATTTTTTGCAAATATCGTACTATATTGGGCCAACATTTAGCCAATGTTTTTTTTTTTGGCGTAATATTACAATTCTACTAATCGGTTTTTTGCAATTATCGTACTACGTTGGGCCAACATTTAGCCAATTTGGCTTAATATTTTGCTGTTCTTACATTTATACCGTAGCCAATATTCGGCGAATGTAGTTGCGGATTAGTATATACTTAAAAATTTGTTGCAAAACACTTTTAAAAATGGCATCGTTTGACAGAATAAAAAAAAGTTTTGATATTATTTTTCCATTCTTTTAAATTATAAAAGTAAAAAAAAGAAGGTATATTTATTAATCTTTTAAGAATCTTAAAAGGTTCCTTATAAGAAATAAACTTCAAGAGATTCTCGTGACTTTATGTTTTGTTTTTTTAAATAATTAAATATTTGTTAACATTTAAACGTAATGCGTAAAACATTTTTTACTACTATCTAAATTATTAATGTAACAATAAAGGCAATAATCAAATTATTTTTGTGTAAGATCTTAAAGTTATTTTTTTATTTTTATTGCTGTATTGGCATTTCAAATGTTTGATTTATTTAATAATCTTTATTAAATAAATAAAACATTTCAAATGTTTGATTTATTTAACAAAGAAGACATTTTAAATGTCTTTATTATATAAATCAAAAATTTGAAATGTCACACAGTATAAGTTTATTATTTTTTTTCATAACTTATTTATAATAGTTTAGATTATATAGCTATTATAAGATAAATTATTAGAGGTATCAATAATATATATGTGGCATCGATGTTGTTAGAAGCTGATATTTTACATTTTAAATGTCTCTTTTGTTTGATTTTTTCTGAGTTTGATTGTGAAACCCCATCTACTAACATATTAAAACAGTGTGCAAAAAGTGATGTTACTAGAATTTATATTCTACTTATGTAGAGCTTTCTAATATTCCATCTTTCTGAGGTATAGAGACATTATTCTTTTTTTTAATTTTTCATATTTAGTCTGTGTACAACAGTTAATAATTTTAAGCTTTAACAACATTAACTTTAGTTATAACTTAATTATTTATGATTTGATTTATAGATTTTTAGAGCAATACTAGATTAAATTTAGCAGAAGGCTAAACTTCTGCTCTGGAGACAAAAAATAAAGACAGCGAAAATGACCAGCCAAAATAAAGAATAAAGAGACAAAAAATTGTGTATATCTTGGTGTAGATGATTTATCCTCGATTTCTTATAATAAAACTAAAAATATTATTAAACTTTGGGATTTACCTGTAACTCCAGACTCTTTACAGAAGTTTAATGTTTGCTCTGAGAAGTTGAATGAACAAAATTTATTAAATGGTAAGTTTTTATATAAAAGTCTTTATGTCTGATAATTGAAAATCTTTTTTCATAGCTTTAACTTTTACAATTTAAAAGACTTTTTCATATATTACGGTCAAAAAGTCAGAGTTAGCATTTTATTGTGTAATAATAAACATATCAAAGCCTACACGACAGGCTTGGTCTTGAATACTGACCACGGAAATTATATTTAGTTTCGAAAAACTGACCAGGTTTTTTAGTCGTTTTAAGCACAATTAAGTTTATAAAAGAACAAAAATTTTTTGTTGGATTTCGAAGTTGGTGTCACCAACTTTGAAATCAACTGTTAAAAAAAACAATAACAGAGTATTCATATCAGTTTAAAGTTTTAATAGTTGCTGGTAGTTCATTATTATTCATTATATAAATGTTTATTTAAATTTATCTAATATATGAAGGTAAAACAATATTTTTATTAGGGATGTACCGAAGCTTCAGCTTTGGAGTGCCGAAGCTTCGACAATTTTGCCGAAGCTTCGGTTCGGCCGAAGCCAGGTCAATTTTTTGCCGAATCTTTGGCTTCGGCAAAACATTTTAAGTAATTAAAGTTATAAGCTACTGTGGGACAAGTTATAAAAATAAGCTAATTGCCAGTGTCTAATAAAGTTATAAATTTAGGACTACAGAGTTAAAGTTGGAGTCTATACCATATACTTAGTATTATTTACTCTCAAGTGTCTTGTTATGTAGGGGATAATAATAAATAAGTAGAAATATTTTGAAAAAAATTTACAAATTTTCATTGTAAATTTACAGAAATTGGTTAGGTGTCACTTATATAGATACAAAATAGTCAATGGAGTGACACATAAAAAACAAAAAGTTTTCAACAACAAAAAAGGAAGAAAAGCAAATGAAATATAAACGAGGAGAATAAAAAAAGAAAAAAGAAAGCCAACAAAAACTAGATAAATTAAAAGAAAAAGAAAAACAATGATAATAACTATCCTTGCTCTTTTATTAATATTATGAATACTTCTAAATTGAATTTATATATTAAACATGTAAACCAATATTCTGGTTTCTTCTTATGATATTATGAAGACTTTATTATGACTTTTAAATTTTATTTAAAATAAATTAAAGGATGAAGCTTTGATTACTTTGAGCATTTTTCATCAAAATTTATTTAAATTAAATAAACAATTTAAATCAAATAAATATCAGCTTGCTCAGTCCCTGTTTATTTATAAATATAAAGTAAATAATAATATAATTATAAATAAAAAATTTATAAAGTATTCTATTTATTATTTTATTTAAAGCTCACTCTACAGAGTTGTTAGATTACTTTGGAAGTTTTTATCACAGATAGTTAATATTTGATTTCAGATACTGATGCAGATTTATCCATTATAGAGACAGAAGAAGAATGAATACTAAGATTTCAAAGTATAAAAGATTAAAAAAGCTATAGAAAATGTTATGTAGTGTTAAGTTAAAAATAATCAAAAAAAATACTTAAAAGTGTGTAAAAAAGAAGTTAGAGAGAAATCTATCATTTGTACTTTTTTTAGCAGCAGGTTCACAACAGTTGTAGTGGAATCCAAAATGGTCTTAACTTGGGTTTTTTTTAGTTTAGAAATTGTTCGTTTAAAAAATACAGAGAAGTAAAAAATAGATATTGAAATAAATAGCAATAAAAAGATAAAGTGTGTTTCTAAGATTTTTTATGTTGTAGATACAACTAGATCAGCTAAGAGTGTTTATTTAAAGAAAGAGTGATCAAGTGCAAAAGATAAATTTACTCTAGTAATGTTCAGAGATTTTTATCCACTTCTATTAACAAAAGGTGCATTAAAAATATAAATACAATATACAGCACATGAAAAGATGCTATATAACATTAATATGGTTTGCACACAGAAAAAGTAGAACGACATAATGAGAAACTTTTAAACAGGGGCGCTGAGAGCTTTTGCCCTGCCTGGAACAGCAACCCTGACTGGCGTCCTCATTTTTATACGATTTTTCTATATTATTAGTCAAGGACCTTAGTTTTGGTACTTTTTTTGTTTTACACCCTTGCTGATCTGAATGCTGATTAAATTTTAAGCATATATAGTGGCTTCGGCTGAAGCTTCGGCTTCGGCAAAATTTCAGCTTCGGTACATCCCTAATTTTTATAGATAATATTATTTTTAAAAATTGTATTATTAAAATTCAGAACTAAACTATGTAAAGAAAATTATTTACAAACATTGGACAAGGTCCGTACTGTACCTTGAAAATCTGGAAAGTTTGTTAATATTGGCTAAAGTCGTGGAAAACTGGACAAGTCAGGGAATGATTTCTTTTCATGAAAAAATCAGTAATTCTAGTTAAGAAGCTACTTGTTTCTCAATTGAATGCTGTATTTTGAAAATGTGATAAATCACACTTTTTCTAAAAGTGAGGTTATTTAAAAAGAATATTTTTTTTTTAGGAAAAGATAAAATTATAAGATAAAATAAAGATTTTTTTAGATAAGATAAAGATTTTTTTAGATAAAAGAAACAATTTTTAGATAAACTAAAAATAAATTTTTTTACAGGAGAAATGTTTTTTATTCTCTTGTAAAATTTTAATATTGTGACTTGTCACTTTTTTAAAATACAGCGCTCAATTAAGCTATGTTTTTTTTGGTGCAACCCATTTATTTTTTCTGAAACCTATGTTTTTCTTAGTGTTCATTCTCAGTCATCCTTAATAATAAGATCCATACTAACATGTATAGTAAGCTTTATACTAATATCCAACTTAACTAATAGCTAAGTTTTATAAGTTTTGTCATTCAAAGCATGTACAATTTTAGCAGTTCCATTACAGTAGATAGTAATTTTAAACATTTTGTAAAAACCATAGTTAAAAATGTTCAGGGAAATTCATCTGATTTTTCAAAAAAGTCATTTTATATGAATAATTGGCTATTTGTGTTATTGTAATATTTTGGTATTGTGAATTTTATATAAATAGTTGGCTACGAACCCTGTTGGAGAAACATTGTTTTAATATGAATTTTTTTGTTTTACAGTGCAATCTGTATCTTAAACATTAAAGAGAATTGTTTTGTGTCAGTGCCAGAAATTGAATACACACCTGCAAATTTCGTAATTCATAAAAATATTATGAATCCATTAGCAAGTATATATTTATATCATTAAAAATTTGCCCCTATGTCTTTAATTTTATCTGTTTTATTAGTGATTGTTGTATTTACTTTCATAAATTCTAAATATAATATGCAATTATTTGTCAAGTTTCTTAATAATATTATTAACTTTATTGTTTCAAGATAAAGTTGTATCCTTGAAAGATATGCTGGTATTATTGGCACAATGGGCAGGCATTAAAGTGCAACTTGGTGAACTACAAAATACATCAAATTCAGTTATAAAAATTTAAGTAAAAAAGGTATGCTAATTATTGTATTGCCTGAAAGAGTGACATTGCCATTAAAAGCAGTGAAGAATTCAAATACTCTGGAAGAAAAAAGACAAGAAAACACTTAAATAGTTGGTAAATATTTTTTTATGATCTGTTTATGCATTTTGCATAATATCTTAGTACAATTTATATACTTTAAATAAAATACTCTTTGAAGATTTTTTGTAAATGACATTTTATATTAATTTAAGTCTAAACAAAAGTTACTTTAATTATTGCCAGGTTGTGTATTTTTGCAGGTTAATTATTTGGCACAAATTGGAGTTAAAGACGAAGGAGATTGTATATGTTATTTACTAAGAATAGTTTTGGCCTAGCAGTAAAATTAAACTATGCAGGAAGAGGACAAAAAATTGGAATAGGAAAAATGTTGATTGCATATGTTGCTATTGGTAAGTGGTTTAGAAAATTTTATTTTTTCAGTTTTGAATTACAGAATTACTTTTAATTTGTTATGTTTCTTTGGTGCATAATTAAACAAACAACTATTTTTTTTTGCAGAAACTGTGAAGTCAAATAAGTATGGCTTATGCAGACATGTGATAGAGATAGCGGAAGAAAAAATAATAATCGTGGGCATCAAATATCATAAGCTAAACACGATTCAATAACAAGTAGCTCAGTCAATATCGAAACTACTCTATAAATTTTATAGTGAATTTTTTTATTTAAAACTCAATGTGTCATTTTTTGTTTTAAGTTTGGTGTTTGCAATACGAGAAATTATGTTAAATGAATAAATGTTTATACTTGTATCATGCATTCTTTTTTTCCTCTATAAATTTTCAATGTAGCGATGCAAATCATCTTATTTGTAACAACGATCTAATGTTGCATAAAACGTTAGGTCGATATCTTGTTGTATGCAACATCGGCCCAATATAAACGAACGTAAGTATAAGAATACTAATATTGTAAAGTAGGTAAGAGATTTGGTAGAAAAACAAAAAACTTTTGTTGTCTGCGCATTGAGCAGTTATTAGATTTAAAAATTGCCGCAAGAAATTCTATATATAAAGGGGTATATTGCTGGGACTGGAAAGAAATATCAGGCAAAAATCTTGCTGAAAACCTAAAATTTAGGACTAGTAATTACAATAAAAACTACTAATTAGAATTCAGTCTTCTAATTTTGTTTTTTATTTGTATTTCTTTCAAAAAATAGTTCACTAATTTTGAGAAGAGCCATTAAAAATGCTGTCACCATGTATTTAACTTAATAACATAGTAAAAGAAAATCGTAGCAGTTTCACAATCACGTGGGTTATTATAAAATGTATAAAAATAATGGCATGCAGCATGGTCACGTAGCATTGGCACGCAATATGAGCTCGTTAAAATTTAGAGTTAATGTTTATAATAAATTTACAAGCATATTAGAACAAATTTTACACCTATGCACTAAATGTTGCTCTCCTACTAAAAAAAGACATAGATTAATGCAGGACATCATTTATTTTTGTGCATATTATCACACCCGTATTATCAAACAGTTCACACCCATTCTATTAAACAGCTCACACCCATTCTATTAAACAGTTCACACCCGTTCTATCAAACAGTTCACACTCGTCAACTGTTTGATAGAACGGGTGTGAACCTTACTACAGAGGTTTTTTTTACTTATAAAATTACTTATAAGGTAGTCAGAGTTTTTTTTACAATAAAAAGTCGATTTGTTGCATAAAATTTGCATCGTATAAAAAACTGGCTACCTCTGCAGAAACGTGATTCAATCCAATAATTTTTGTTAAAATAAAATGAAACTAAAATTAAGGCTAGATTCAATTTTACAGTATATTAACGCAATTCTATGTCTCCCAGATTTATTCAAAAGAACCTTTTTTATATAAAGTAGTTTGTAGTATTTACATACATATATATATATATATATATATATATATATATATATATATATATATATATATATATATATATATATATATATATATATATATATATATATATATATATATATATATATATATACATATATATATATATATATATATATATATATATATATATATATATATATATATATATATATATATATATATATATGTATATATATATATATATATTTATATATATATATATATATACATATATATATATATATATATATATACATATATATATATATATATATATATATATATATATATACATATATATATATATACATATATATATGTATATATATGTATATGTATATATATATATATATATATATATATATATATATATATATATATATATATATATATATATATATATATATATATATATATATATATATATATATATAGAGAGAGAGAGAGAGAGAGAGAGAGAGAGAGAGAGAGAGAGAGAGAGAGAGTTTTGTTGTATCATGTCAAATATAAAAAAGCTCTTTGAAGGTTTACGAGAATCGATATTTATAAAATAGATCAGATAATAGATATTTATAAAATAGATCAGATAAATAGATATTTATAAAATAGATCAAAGTTTTATTGAAACGTAAGTTTCATGCCATTCGATAACCATTCAGCCTTATATTTAAAATCTTTAAAATAAAATAAAAAACCATAAAAAAAATAAAAATTCCCGTTTGAAAACTGCCAAATACAAATTTGCATCCTTATTTTTCTAACGGTTTTTATTTTAATGATTTTAAATATATGGCTGAATGATTGCCGAAAGGCATGAAACTTGAAGTCTCTTCAAAAAATTTTGTATTTTTTTCATGAATATATATATATATATATATATATATATTATATATATATATATATATATATATATATATATATATATATATATATATATATATATATATATATATAAATAAATAAATATATATATATATATATATATATATATATATATATATATATATATATATATATATATATATATATATATATATATATATATATATATATATATATATATATATATATATATATATATATATGCATATATATATATAAATATATATATATATATATATATATATATATTATATATATATATATATATATATATATATATATATATATATTTACATATATATATTTACATATATATATAGTTATATATGTCAATTTTAATATACTTTAAGCAGTACTATTGTTAATATAAAATTATTCATAAATTATTAATAAAAAGTTAATTTATTACAGCGTTGTAATGAAGTTAAAAAAAAGAATTATAAAAGTTTTGTTTTCATTTTCAAACTTTTTGCATAACGACTTGTTACTGTAAAATTATTTCATCCGCATATGATAACCGCGTATATCCCCATTTATTGAAGTTCCTACTTTGGATTACAAAACAATTTTTCCTACAGAATTTTCAGAGTAAATGTAGTTTAGATGACGCAAAGGTATGAATTCTTTTCGCACTTCCTGCGACAACCTAAGTTGTTCTCACGTAGAGTAAACTTCCGGTTATTTAAACCTCGTTGGGGAAAATAAACTTACTTCGAGTAACCGAATTTTGAATAACTGATAATCCTCTTAAAAATCAGCTGTTTCAAATTGCTATTAAATTTAAGAGTAATAGAGTAAAGAGTAAATCTTTTGGAACAAGATGATGCTTAAGTCTTATTTTTGTATAATAACGAACTCTTTCACATTCTTTGGAAAAATTGTCTTTTTTCGATGGCTTTTTTGTTTCTAAAGAGTAATTGTTAAACATCTTGAACACGAGGCTTTGTTAGTGTCTGATTTTACTGCCGTTATTATAATATATAATCTAAATAATAAAAATTGTTGTATTCAAATCACTCTGTTGCACCAGCAACAAATGATAATTTTATTCTTTAAAGTCTTCATCTGCAAAACCACGTGATTACTAAGCTTGATTAAATCAATTTGAAAGGATTGTCTTCTCCATTTATATATGCCACCTGTGTTTTCTGTGAGCTGCCTGTCTTTCTAAAGCAGTTCTTTACAGTGTTTGCCGATACATTATCCCATGACCTGACCAACGTGCGCATACACACATTGTGCCCTCCTTCATTCCTAGAATAGCCTTTGCTTGAGGGGATCGTGGGCGAATGGGTCTGCTTTGTGCACAACCTTTCCTTCCCAAAAATAGTTCCAAAAGCAATATCATGTTAATTTTTCACTAATGTAGCCACTCTTGTAAAACTTTAAAATCCGTTATGTTGAGTTCTTTTGCAAAATCTAAAGCTTTTTCCCTTATGTATCCGAAAATTGGTACATTTCGTTCACGTGCGCCGTATCATGGCCGACGACACAGGTTTCGAATTGAATGGGCATATTCGTCAATTTGTAAAATAAGTCCTCTATATCTATATATGAATTTTCTAAATAAAAAAAAGGTCCTTTAGAAATAATTGGGGGTAGGGGGCACGTGCACCTTTTCCGTCCTCGGTGTCATTGACTATGCAAGTTGAAATTTCTACTGCACTACCTTGCAAAGTGCTCAATCTTTTTTATATTTTGAAATGCAATGCAATGGTATCTTCAAACGAAAAAAAGTTTCGAATAACGGAGTTTTTTTGAAGGAGACCAAACGAATAAACAAATTTTAGATTTACAGCTGGTTAGAGTAACTGAAGGGTATTTGCAGGAGTTTATTATAAACGTGGAATAAAAATTTCCTCGAACAATTGGGAAAATTGAATAAGTGGCGGTTCGAATAGCAAGAAGTTTTCTCTACATTCAAAATATGATGTGTTAGCTGTAACTTTTCGATAAAGTTATGAGATAGTATAGATTATTGATAATGGGATTTTTTATTGTTTTAAAAAATGTAAAAAATATCACTTTCGGGCGTAATTTTTAACAAATGTATGGAAATAATCAAAAATAATTGCACAAACTAAATTCAATTAACTTATTATTATTACTTATTTTTAAACTTTGTTTTCAGAACGCACATTTAGATAAAAACATTCAATTATCAGTCCGTCATACCAGTCAAAGAAAATTACCAATCAGAGAATAGAAGCACAGAGAATTCCCAATCAGAGAATAGATGCACAGAGAACTCCCAATCAGAGAATAGAAGCACAGAGAATTCCCAATCAGAGAACAGATGCACAGAGAACGCCCAATCAGAGAATAGATGCACAGAGAACTCCCAATCAGAGAATAGAAGCACAGAGAATTCCCAATCAGAGAATAGATGCACAGAGAATTACCAATCAGAGAATAGAAGCACAGAGAAAGAAGACAATCTTAGCACAAAGAACTAAGACATTAATGTCTTAGTTCTTTGTGCTAAGATTGTCTTCTTTTAAAAATAAGAAAAATATAATAAGTAAAAACAGATAATTAAATTTTCTTATCATGAAAATTGGTAGATAGAACTAGTGATCGACCGGCCGGAATCGAAATTCCTGTTTCGGTTCCGGCTAGATTTGAGATTTCGGTTTCGGCCGGAATTTCGGTTCTAAATGCTACCGAAAATAGATATTATAAAACTTTATTTTAAATAAATTATTTAGCATTGTAGCGTAAATATATTTTGATTAAAAAAATTTAAATAATTTTTTTGCTAGTTATTTCAACTTCTTATATTATTTTTTGCGTCCGATC